GCGGCACCAATTCAACTTAGATAAACCTCACCTTCAGGGCACCGCCTCCTGTATGTAGGAATTCAACTTTACGTGCAGTAGCATGTATATTGGTCGGACAGACGTTATCTATAAAGATTGTGGAGCATGTTCTGCGAGGCCTTAGCGGTGAGTGGTCCAAAGCTACCTGCTAGCTCTATTGCTCGACACCGAAGCGATTGAAATGCGTGTCAAGAACTCATGGTTGATGGGCTAGTGGTGCGGTTCTTTGCGTCGAGGCAATCACGTGACTCTACTATCCGAGTACATTTGTTACATCGAATATCTCGATGTGAAGCCAGAAAGGATGCAACCTATTACGCACTGTTATGTTTGGTCGGGATTGGGTGAAAACGATAGTTGGACGTTCGTGACTGAGTGTACCAGAGATAGCCTAGGAGACTTTCTTAAAAAGCTTCACGTTACTAGTCGCAGAGCATTAGAGCCAAAGCCCTCCATCGTGCCCCTAAACCGTAACACTCTTTAAGTATCTGAATACGAAAATATATGGCCCCAATGGATCGGATATAGTGCTTTTACCAAAACAATCCCAGCTCAGAAAATTAGACAGTGTACGTAGTTCAACCCAATTAGCGTGTGCATTTGATTTGTGATGACAAGATGACACACCAACAACAGCTGGCGAAATGATTCTGTTCTAACCAAAAGATTGTTTACAAACACGTCAATAGATTTTGAAAAGTGCAGCGCGGGATCTCACCAGTCACTACGGTTGGTGGGTACACACATACAGAGTGAGACAGCCAACGTCTTACGGGCCAAGTACTCACCTACTCTGCGAACGGTACTTCTGCTTCTATCATCACTCCACTACCAGTTTTAATCGACGTCACATTCACTGCAGAAACGGTAATGAAAAAGCTACTAACCTTACATGTATACAACTATCCTGGAGCGAATAAAAGCACTGTATGTGGTAGCCATGCACACAGCCGAAGCACTTGCAGGATTTTTTCAGTCGTTCAGAGGAGAAGATAGTTCCGCAAAAGTAGAAATCTTTGTTCCCAAGGTAAAAGTTAATGTAAGCCTGCAAATTACCTCCCGTTAACACTATTCTTTGTGCCCGCCAAGGTCAATGAAGCGACCATTGTATAGACTACTTAGAAAGCTATGACATCACTGCGCCGGAGCAGTACGAGTGTCGCCAACATAGATCATGTAGCAGGAATCGATGTAACCTACTCGGACTTTTCAAAAGCGTTCGATCGCGTGGTTCATTTTACCCTGTTCCATAAACTACAGCATCGGAGATCCAGCATTAGGATAGATCGGTAAGTTCTTCCGCGAACGGCAATTAGATATTATAGTCCGAACGTCTTTGTCTGACCTGATTCGAGTGGGTTACGGTGCATAGCAGTGTTCGGTACGTTGGCTCCGCCTGTTCTTAGTTTCCTTAACGATCTAGCGAGGATTAGGCGCACAAAAATTTCACTACTCGCAGACGACGACAAGGGAATGGGAGAGTATGAGATTATTCAACGTGACCTTGAAGAGGCCGGAAATTGGTCAATGAGGGACGCGATGTCATTTAGTGTGGGCGAGTACCAAGTTACCCATATTCGCTATCGACACACCTACAGCTACAAACTTGGGGCGCACGATTTGAAGGCTAGGACTCAGAAACGTGACCTCGGTGTGCTGATGCAGGACGACCTACGTTGTTATAAGCAGTCCGAGTTCCTTCCAAAAATAGGTAATCATCATGTCGGTCACTTGCGGAGGACATTCGGGAGTTTGGATTCATTAATCTTTCCTCTGATGCTCAATGGTTACATGCGTCCCCAATTCGAATACGCTATCCAGGGTTGACAACCTTGGCTAAAGCGTGACCTCGTAGCGCTCAAAACCATCAAACGTCAAACAACCAAAAATGCCAACGGTTTGCGCAACCTTCTCACGAAGAACGAAGTGCTTAGTGCACGCTACTGGCGGCTGCGTGATCTCATATCATCCTACTAAGCACTGCAAGACCCGTCACGTATGCCACTCTCTTAAAACTCAACCAGAACGTCAACCTCAGAGACAATAGCCTGAAAGTGAATCAAAAATACAGTCGTTTAGATTGTCGACAAAATTACCTCTCGTTCCGGATCTGTCAACCCTGGAAGAATTTTCCCAACTCAATTGTTTGGGTCACCAATTTAGGCATTTCGAAAAACGTTTGGATATTGTATTGAGCTCCATACAAATGTTACACGAACGGAAATTATGGGATATATTCAAGCTAATTAGCCTCTTTGGAATCATGACCCACAGTGACGCACGTAAATTTGTGCAGACGCGTGGGCAAACAGACTGTTATTCGCTATAGGCGTTAACCCAAACACTTTGTTATTCTCTATTGCACGGTGCTACCCCACTCCCACAAACTTATTATTTATGCCATTATTCTATCGCTTCACCACTACGCATTTTATTTGATCCACCTGTGCACTATTGGATTTTCAAGTTATCCAACCTGCGGGACATGTTAAGCATATAGCTCTTTACCCGTCATAAACCATTGTTCAGCGAGACAAACCACTATATGACGTCGGTCAGAAAAACTGCTACAAGTAACATGAAACCACGCCTGAAATGCAACAAGTGCAATTACGTGCCGTAATTTCGGAAGACGACTTCTTCCCATTGTTTCCGACGAATGGGATATAGGAATACCCAAACCATTAGCAGCTTTTAAGAAAAGCCTTAATTTCACAGTTTCAACCAGCTAGGGATGAGATAGACAGTCAGATCAAACTGTGTCGTAGTTGGTGCAAGGAACCAGATGAAGTGGCCCGTTTCGTATCTACAAAGGCCGGTTTATCACTAGCATAGATCAAGTTGCACGTTACTGAAAACGTATTACGGTGGCAATTAAGAAATGTCAAAATACCTACGCTATTCATCTTGGCTCATTCGTAGGAGGGTGTTTAGAGTAAAATCCATTCTAAACAGAAATATCAGAAGATGTAAGCTGTGAGATGACCCGGTCATTTCGTGCCTATCTCCTCAGTCATGTACAAGGTAACTAACAATTTGAAAACAAGCAAGATCGGATGCGGTCGATTGGTGGTCAGTTGATGGTCAACTATTACCGCGGTATTACCACGGCAGGCTCGATGTTACTGTCAACTGCTTCTATACGCACGGAGGCGGCCTCTCGCAATCGATTACGATGCCTTCAGGTAGCATGAGTATATGCGGCCTTTGGTTAGGCATGAGGACAGTGAATGAGTCAATTGCGTTGACCTGGTGACCAGTGTTCAGTAGATGCCTCGTGATTGCCGAAGCTATCCTGCCTCTGGATTCACCCAGTTCCACCGTCTGAGATCCCATTTGTTTGCGCAACCATTTAGGGATGTGCTCGTCGATCCTGACATTGTTCCATCGAGCCAAACTAATTTGTACGCCAGGCACACTTGAAGCAGAAAGAGATGTTCTGTTCGATACATTGCAATCCAATGGTTACCCTTTACATTTCATAAAGCGCGTTTGTGACACGACGAAGCAAGAACCAATAAGGACTGTCCAGAAGAAGCCGGTTTTCGTCGAGCTGCCGTTCAAATTTGACCACATCGTGAAAGTCACCACGAAACGTATAAGTGTCACTACGAAAAAGGCGTATAATGCGGCAAAGTTGCGGTTGCTCACATCGACAAGACCATTGCTTACGCGCTCATTGAAGACACCGACGACGAAGCAGTGCATGTCCTATCGTTTATATAAATTTACCTGTAGCTGTGAGTACAGCTACACTGGGCGCACTGACCAAAGTCTAGGCGTCAGGATCGGTGAGCACATGCCTAAATGGTTGCGTAAGCGAATAGGATCTCAGACGATGGAGCCGAGTGAGTCCAGAGGTAGGATAGCTTCGGCAATCATGAGGCATCGACCAGGTCAATCCAAGTGACTTATTCACTGTCCACATGCGCAACCAAAGGCCGCATATACTCAACCTACTTGAATCCATCGTAATCGATTGCGAGCGGCCACCTCTGTGCGTATAGAAGCAGTTGACAGTAACATCGAGCCTGACGTGGTAGTACCGCAGTAATAGTTGACCATCAACTGACCACCAGTCGACCGCATCCGACCTTGTTTGTTTTCAAATTGTCAGTTGCCTTGTACGTGACTGAGGAGATAGGCACGAAATGACCGGGTCATCTCACAGCTGATATTTCTGTTTGGATTTATAAAGGGAACTTCTTATTTCCAAGTTTAAAATACATTCAATGAACGAGTCCCTCACAACAAGACAGAGAAGAAGGCGCTTAGGAGGTCGGCAGCAGCGACATAGTCGTGGGGAAATTCTATTTTTTCGGAAGGCCGCAGACGAGCGAAAACAGATACAAAAAGGAAGTTGTTAGCAGAAGAAAAATTTATTCTACCACAGAGACAGTTGGGCGCTCGCGCGTGAAAAAGTCGTCAATTAGATTGCAGCTAATAACTAAGTGAAATAAATCTATATAGAGAAGAAAAGACATAAAGGTTATCGGCGCTAAACGGAGGAAAGTGCGTGGATACTCTAAGGTTTCAAATGTCATGGATGAGGGTTAGGACATCTGCAGACGATGATCAATAAACTAAGTGAAATGTGACCAGAGAAATATGGTGCAAAAATTAGAGAGTTAACTGTTGTGAAACAGATATGATTCGTAAAAACGTCAAATGATAAAACGTGGCAAAAATGTCAGCATAGTTATTGACAGAAATATACGCCCGTTCGAAGTACCGCTGTGGTAAGACGGTGTAGAAGCAAGATTGTGTGTGGATATGCAAATGGAGCAAAAAGAACGCAGTATAAAAATATTCAGATAAAATATTTGAGACAAGTTGTGATTACGCAGGACAAATTGAACAATAAGATGATCATCCCTGAGATATATCCGCTGGATCAGCTCTAATGGGAAAAGGACATGAGGAAGCTAAAATATAGATGGATGGAGATCTAACTGAGAGATAGTTAGGTGGGTGGCGGCTTATCCGGAATGACCATCCGTGTCAACCTTCAGGATGGAGTGTTTCGGTAAGCAAACTGGGCCGTCAGAGTTGCTCTCGGAGTGAAGAGCAGTGGGATGTTGAGCACTGGGTAGAAATGGAACGAGTAAACCGGTCGCCTCGTCAGCGCGGTGGCAGGTCACTGCGTGGCCGCTGTAACATTCACCGTTTCCCTCTGTTTTGCTCAGCTGAGCCTGCATTCGGCGCTGAATCTCGATAGAGTAGTAATCCACGTAGTAGCAGGCCCCGTTCCAACATAGAACAAGCAGCTGAACGACAAGCATGCAACTGTGAAATAGCTGACTGCACCAGGCGACGACGCTTACGCACAAAAGAACAGCGCTTGATGCGATACCGATGAATATCCAAATGAATAAATGCCATCTGTAAGATAAGACAATTGGGTAATATAGAAGGTGAAAACAATTGATAAGTCGAGGGTGATCTCATACACTTGCTACGCTAGTGAGCATTAGCTGAAAGCGAAGAAGCACCGACTCTCTGGCATGCATATTGAATTTTTCACTATTTGAACCGATTCCCGAGTAATTTTTGCCCACATTTATCCGGTTATCACCATCATCACCCAAAATGACTTGAAACTTTGGAGCATAGGGTTGTTTGTTCATGTGTTCACGAACGGTCCTAGATGTTGGCAAGCCGATTGTAAATGTTCCGTCACCAATCGAAGTGATGTCATCAGTGAGTTACATAGACTGTCTTCTGCGCAATAACGCACTGATGATGTCACTTTGGTGCGTAATCCAACTGCCAAGCTCGGGGTGCATGTGGACCACTGACCATTGTCATTGTCAGTGCAGACCAGACGTAACGGAAACTGGCCAGCAAGAAACAAGATAAACTTGTTATAAACGTGTTTGTTTTCTCGACCCTTCCATTGAGAATGGACGAGGCTTTTCAGTGACAGTACCCCAAGCACAGAGTATCCAAATCAGTTCAAGTCGATATGGTCGAATATACCTATGCGATAGATGTGTGTACGCGCGAGATAAGACGAAACGGGTAACCCCGCACGACATCAATTGAGACCCAGAAAAAAAGACAGTTTGATAGCGATAGTTCGTTTATTGACTCAACCAAATGTACTTCCCATATCTTCGTACTTATAATTCAATAGAATAGTTGCTATGGACATAAACCACGGGTAGGATGAATCTTAGTTGTTACGTAGTGGCAATTCAGTCAAGCTCAGTGCGACTTGAGGTGATAGATACAGCAGTGTAACTGAGGAGAGCTTAGCCCTGAATTGCGTGGTTTGAGTCGCGGCGTGGTGACAGCATTGATAAGCCTACTAGGGAGGCAGACCAGGCGAACTACGAGAGCTCCGCAACAAAAGCCGTATTGCAAGGTGTGCATTCAGTCAAGTTTGATAGGAGAGTGGATAGCCCGCATGCGTACGACGCTTGTTGACTGCTAAAGAAGCAAGCTTGAAATCGTAGTTACACAATTGTCAACAGTTGGCGGTGATGTTCAAGGTGAATGACAGATGGAAGTCACATTGCTTTCGGCTCTGACCAACATCATCGCCAACGGCCATATCGGTTTTCATACATTCTAATAAAGAAACGAATATCGGAAAGGTCTTGCAACAATGACGCTCAGAAACTTATACCGTAATATAATGGAAAGCAAATCGGGATTTTTCAAGTGAACACCCCTGTGACTGTTTGTTCTATCTAATTGCACTAGTATTTGTGTGTTGGAGTCAGTTGATTTGCCTTTTGTGGATATGCGTTTCGCTTTGTTTCAATGATCATCTACAGTTGAGTGGTCTTCGAACCGGAGAAACATCTCGTGTCAATCTGCTTGTTCTGCCTTGGCTCAACGGGGAATCCTCGATGCGTAAATGTGCCGCTGATTTGGTAGTCACCATGCGTATCATTTTTAGCTCGATCCGTTCGTCCACATTCGGAGTCCATATCATTAAATCAATTACAGTACCACACATCACACCCGGAATCACTAAATATGATGCGTCACTGGCTCAAAATATTCAGTCCCGTGAAATATGTGTCCAAGAGTCAAATCGCACCCTATTCAGGAGTGCAAAAGGACCTTCACTAAGCTGAAGCAATGAAGAAAATAAGATGATGAAGCTTCCCAATTTGCAAAAAGATGCGATAGCCGGGACATTCAGTCAACTGCAACGACAAAGAACGGAGAAGTGACATGAATCTACTTACAATGATTTACGTAGCAAGAGTGGAAAAGAAATACAAAGAAAATATAGCTAGAAAGGGAAGATGATCGGCAGAACGATATATGAAATCATAGCAGTCATAAGAACAGGACGAAGTGACAGAGCACAAACGAATCGGCGAACACCGGAGAAAGTCACTGACCATTAATGTGCCCTATCCGGATGCTCCACCTAGACGGGTAGTAAGTCGCAATCATCAAATGGGTTTCCTGGTGTTTCTTGTGAGATCATCGTAGGGAGCCAGTGAAGTTTGTGCGTAATAGTGATAATCAATACACATTGAAGGAGATGGTAAAAAGATATGCAGAAGACGTGATTCAAGCAGTGTGGATGGCTGCAGAGAATTCATCAAGAGGGCTTTTGCTAGATGCCAACCGTCAGTTATCAGTAATACACACTGGTGATCAAACACAACCATGCCTTGGTGTTTTTAAAGTAGTGACTACAGAACAGGTTCATCCGGTAAATTCAACAAGATAGCAGCATCCAGCATCATACTAAGTTGATGTCTCGTCGTTTCAATAAGCTGTTAACACTGTGACGGTATACAAGTCGTCAGAAAGAATAAAGTAACTGAAGGTTAGCTGCTAAGGCTAGTTGCGAATATTTCATCATCAATCGAGGTAACGTAAGTCGTGCGCAGTGGTAAGTGCCGTGCTAGTAAACACTTACCTGCAGACGAGTTCAAGGACCGATACAGCTAACAGTCCTTTCAAGAAATTTAGATCAATAATTGCGTTGCAAGCAGGTCGGTTACCCATTGGCGTAGCCACATAGTTCCGCTTCGTTCGAAAATGACTAGACTACTGGATCAGTGTTGAAGTGAAGAAGCGGTTCACTACATCGCGTGGGAAAACCGACGCAGAAATGACGGTCGAACACAACAAAATACAACATCCGTTCCAGCACAAATCAACACACCACTGGTTCCAAATGGCACCGAGTAGCCACTGGAAAAAGTCGAGTAAAACACGCGTCAATAGATGGGTCACCTATGATGGTCACAACACTGATGTGGTTACTTCACGAATTGTACAAGCCCGTGTGCTTTTCAAAGTTGTAATCCTATGGGGACGGCAAGGTGTCAATCTGTCAGTTAAAGGCACGGTGCATGACGATGCAATAAGACTGGTATTATTCTATGTATATGAGACATGGCCAATCCAGCTGAGGGTGTTAAAAAATCGACGGTTTTGGTCACCGGGTGTATGCAGAGTAGTGCTCATGTCGGGTAAGAGCAATGGGAGAGTAAAAATGTGATCCATCTCCACAAGTAAATAGCAAACTCAAGACATTACATGAATCTGGAAACAGGATACCACACAGCACTGGGATTTTCGTCATCAATGGGTCTCAAAATATCAACTACGATCATCGAGGAAATGGACATTTCCGATGGCAACGCACAGATGGATTATTGAGCATTGCTAACCCCTCCGGAACTCATTCTTCTATGCGCTTGGAAGCCTGCGAGAGTCACTCTAAAAGAACTCTCTCGACCGCATTAGTGTCCGGTGGTACGTGCAAAGGTGCGCAAGAGGATATTTGAGAAGTTTTCAAATCATGCATTATTGAACCCAAGGCAGGTGGATTCCCTGACAAATCCACAGGAGTCGCCCAGCACACATACGAACAACCATGTAACATTGAGATTACCGTTGCAAAAAATAGCAACAAAATGCTTGCGTTTAGACTCCTCGTCTCACGTAGAATTTGACATAGTCCCTTAGCTTGCTGTAATGCGGCAGGAACAACCTACCATGTCGATCAATAAAAGAGCACATCCTGCTCAATGGGAGTCCACAGTTGATCTGCCATATCACAAAAGACAACCAACTCATGAAGACAAACATTCACGCCCGATTAATAATGTCCGTAACTGTTAGCATAATAGAAACAACAATCACAAACGAATTGTTCAGCTGTTTGATAGTTGACGTTGTTCACAGTTGCCATAAGCTGTCAGTCATCACCGTTGACGAAAGCGCCCAATACTCGATCACGAATGTCTGATGAGATACTCTGTCGAACGCGAGAAGGCATGCCGACGACGTTAGAATCAGAGACATGGTTTCGGTCGTGCGCTTATGTTCCAGCTGTTCATTGCTCTCAGACCCATTGTGATCCATCGTTTCGGACGTGAGGGGGGCGCATACAAGCCCGTTGCACCGTCGAAGTGCATTCCTCTAAGGTTCATTCACAAGTCTCACCCAGTCAACGGGCAGCACGCTCACCTCCCCAGACTAACGCACCGAAATTTGGCATCCGGCCAATGAGAACACACAAGGTCAGAGGATTGGCTCTGAGCGGTTGGCGAATCGCACAGGGTTTTGCAAAATTTTGGACTTTCTTTGCAAAATTTTGCACCTTCTTTGCAAAATTTTGGACCTTTTATGCAACTTTGGGGGAAATGCTATAGTGAGGGCGCGCGGCACACTGTGCACCGGCTGAGCTCCGTTTAGTAAAGTCGCAATTGCCATCCATTTGAGTTTGATCACGCTAGTCTCACTCAAATCGCAAAGTTTCCCTACCCACCTCCGAAAGAGTGAGTATTCTGCGCGTAACTGTGTTCAGTCTCTACGCTATACCGAATTCTATTGGCTGGTAGCCTCTGCCCACGCAGTGCTACGTGGAGGCAAGTTCGATGATTTTCGGAGGATAGCCATTGCATTAAGTAGGAAAGCTTCTGCACTAAGGATGTAAGCGATTGCCTTAAGGATGTTAGCAAGTGAGAAATGGTATAGTTGAGGTCGAACATCAATACTACTACGGATGCATCTGTCGCTTCTTCGTTGATCACTACCCAGCTCCTCGTGTTTTCTTTGCTCCTGCTAAACAGGTCAGGATGGGCATCAGTGCCTGAGACTGTAATTCTCCCTTACTCCACTCACAAGAACACCAAACCGTCGCGATGGTTTGAACCTTAAGCACACCTCACTGATGGCTATCGCATGAATGCGCTGCTGCTTCTGCGACCAAGGGCGTTGTGCCACGTAGGACACCTAAGTGAACGGCTCTTCAAGATTAATCAAGCTGACAGAAAACCGTGAATTGTTGTGTTTTGACTCGAAATATTAAGCAGGAGACCCAGCCGTCTGTTCTGGCTATACACTGAACATATCGGAATGAAACCGGCTGGTGACCGGCTGTTGACTAAATTAAACGACAATTTGTACGCATATTGACAAACAAAAAACAACTACGGGCTGCTCGATTTGTGCGTGTGTATGGTAAAGCACGCTTAGCGTCCAATAGTCCCATCAAAATTAACGTACTGAAAATAGGAACTTGAGAGGAGTGATGACATACCAGTTTACTTCCGTGGCGATTCTTAACACAGCGTTCGTCGTCGGGTTCTCGGATGACTGCAAAATGCAATCTTAAACCATCCAAAGTTGTCAGCTTAACGAGATTTTGACAAAGATATTGCGTCATAGCAGATGGGTTGAACCGTGACGCGCAGCAGTGTTGTATGATAGCAAACGTCAGGAAACAAGGCACTATAAGATTATTATTAAAGAACCGAAGCGATAGGGAACAATAGGTTGCAAGGCAACGGCAAGTACCAAATAGGACCTGCGGATCAATGCTTGAATAGTGTTGACATTGTAAAGGTCCGCTGTCCATACCACTAGTGTGCACCAGGACGAACACAGCGGCACGAATGCCGTCAACACCGTAAATGCCAACAGACAAGGGTGACGCGAGACGCGAATGCGTCGGCATATCACGAACGCGGATGAGGACAACGGCTGGGAAAATGTGGAGAATTTAAAATCGGACACACACGGAAAGTGACCATAGCTGTGCATGAACGAACGGAAAGCGAAATGTCAAATACTTCCACAGAGGTACCAAACAAGTTGAGTGTCTAGTGGAATCACATGGACGGACACAGGTCAACAGTAGACAGGCGAGAAGCCATAATGAGCGACTAAAACAGGACAGATAATTGCAAAAACACCAGATATATGATGTTGATAGTTGAATGAGTGAACTAACCTGTCGTGGAAACGATCCCAAAACAACTTCGCGAGTATGCGCTTTTTTCGCATGTAACGGTAGGCATCTAAGTGCTTTTCACTTGGTTTGACGCAGCCGTAGATGATGCTGTAATACAACACCTGTTGAATGTCAGAAAGTAAACCCAGCCTGGAGCGTTAAGCAAAACTAACTGAATAAGAAAACAATCACGACAAAGTATATAGGCGGAAGGCACACAGCACTTTCAAGCGTGCACTCTGTTCTACCACGAAAATAAGCCATGGAAGGTTAAAAAACGGAACGGCGTCAGAGGATTGGTATTCTATGGACCGAGAAATGAGTCAACGGATAACTGCTCCTAGATGAGCGTCTTAAAAGTGATATGAAAGTCAAAAGATATTTAGCATTTCAACTCAAGACTAACAGCAGTCCGTGAGTAGTCGAGAAACTAAATGATACAGACCAATGATTGTTTGTACAAACACAGTTAATTAAAATAGCCAAGGGTCATGGAAGAAAAACACAACTGGTTAACAGACGAATGGAACATACAGTATGTGTAACTGCAAAAAGTTGGAGCTAAAAACGGTATCCAACAGAAGCAACGAAGGGCGCATTCCGTAGCTTAGGCGAATGTCGCAGTGACATCAAGTAGCGAAAAGGAATTTAAAACGGATGAATCTGGGTCGGGAAAATAAAATCCGGTGATTACGTTTCAGTTGTCTATCAATTGCCACTATCTCGTCCATACTGGCTCCAGGAGACAGATGATCGTTGCTGGAGGGGACGGAGTGCACGGTCCTTGTGGCCGTCCTAGGCTCGAAGAGCGGTTCCATGCACTCAGTGTGGAACGGACTACGGTACAGCCACCGCCTTGTGTGCGCTTGATTCCCCAAATACAGCGTGTTTGTGTTTGCCAGTGAAGGAGTGTGGGCCGGCTACCTTGATGAGACGCGGCTCCCATTCACATGCCTCGCGGTCTTATTCCTTCGGGTTTACACCGGATATGGGGTGTGTGGTTGGAGCTGTGGGTGGTGCAGCGCAAGCCACCCATGGTCCTTCCGTAGGTGTAGGCGTCCTGTGGCTGGCCACAGTGACAGGCAAATCCGAAACCAGATGACGCCAACCACATATATATATATATATATCTTATATATATATATATATATATATATATATATATATATATATATATGGTAGGCGGCATCCGGTTTCGGATTTGCCTGTCACTGTGGCAAGCCACAGGACGCCTGCGCCTACAGAGGGATCATGGATGGCTTGCGCTGCACCACCCACAGCTCCAACCACACACCCCATATCCGGTGTAAACCCGAAGGAATAAGATCGGGAGGCATGTGAATGGGAACCACGTTTCATCAACGGAGCCGGCCCACACTCCTTCACAGGCAAACACAAGCACGCTATATTTGGGGAATCAAGCGCACACAAGGCGGTGGCTGGACCGTAGTCCGCTCCACACTGAGTGCATGGAACCGCTCTTTGAGCCTAGCACGGCAACAAGAACCGTGCACCCCGTCCCCTCCAGCAACGACCAACTGTCTCCTGGAGCCAGTATGAACGATGTAGTGGGTAATAGACAGGTAGGCACCTTGTCAACGTACACATCAAGCGCAACCATACCAGGGATAGCAAACAACAGCCATTCAATTTAAACGACAAGCTGAAATAAAATAAATCCAATAATGCATACAGATACGGTGGCATAACTCTTCGCAAAATTACCATATGAAGTAATTTGGTTAGTAACAAATCCGTGATAAGTAAGAAATGTCCACAAGTTACTTAAAATGCTACAAACGCAACAAAATTACCGAAGATAAGCGGAATTAGTGTAAGCAACGTGGCCAGTTAATAGAACATTATTCAGGGAGGCAGAACAAACTAAATAAAGCGGAATGAAATTTATCCAGCTTAAAAAGACCTAGTTTAAGTGTAAGTTGGTTTAGCCCAACTGCGGTGAAGAAGCATCAAGAATGCAACATCAGCCTCAACATGGGGCACATATATATATATATATATATATATATATATATATGCACCGAACATTCACAGCGATGCCTCTTGACCATCATGAGCTAGAAAACGTCCCTGAATCTCTGTAGTTACTTGTAACTAACAATCCCCAGCATATACTTCTCAGATGCATCTATAACCCTCCGAATACCCCAACTGGTGATTTCACCACCACCTGATCCGCATTACATTTTGCATCAGTGTTACCGTGCAAACGGAGAATAACAACTGGAGGCTTCAATTTCCCGAAAAGATATTGGTTACAAAATCTATCTTCGTTACCACATACAGATTCCCTGTAAACGATTACGACTATAGGATGGATACAATGGGTTACGGAACCCACTAGCGTACTTGAATTAATAGTTACTTTAGGAATCATCAGCGCAAACATCGCTCTGCCAGACTGTCTCCCAGGTAATGAACACAAGACATTAAAATTCACTTTCAATACCAGATCAGATGCCGAATGAAGAATCATGTAATGGGGTGCTCAGGTACGTATCCACATACGGTTGCGAAACAATGTAAGACAACCAGTTTACTTTACTTAGTACTCGCATTAGGAACTCACGTCGTGAAAACCGAGTTGCTGGACAGTCTTCCTGGCAGTGACCACGAGAAAGCAAGACTTGTTTCCGTTACGGAATAAACGTCACCCCACACCCGCTCACACAACATTGTATCCCGGGGGGAATAATTGGACACATCTCCAACACTTGGACCGATCTTCGGATGGGGCTGTATTTTTACGCTCCATCTCCTAGCTCACCAAGATACAGAGGATGTGGCAAAGGAAAAGGAAGGCGGTGCTTCAGTCAAGCCAGATATAAGCGCGATTGTTAGAACGTTGACATGCACTTCGTAGCAGACTACTTTCTGAGCCTGGCTCAAGGCTGCGTCCTCCAAGCAAACAACATACACAGTATTTTTGTTCGTCGCAATCAGCCGACAATTCAGATATGTCGACCAGCTGTCCGGATTCCACAAAATGCTATGTCGATTCATAGCTGCCGTAACCGGGAAGTCCTGACGCCGGAACGCCAACCGCTGTCATCTGCATGGCAGGTGCCTGCATGGCAGTGGAGGATGCGTCGGGCTATATCGCATTTAGCTAACAATTCACGATAGTCAGATGCCATCCTCCATGGCGCAGTTGCACAAGCTGCGGGCTAGTTGGCAAGAGCCACTAGCAGTCATGGGTTCGATCCTCCGCAGAGGACCGAAGGATGCGCACCACTGATGAGCCCCAATAGGGCGAAACGGCCGTCTGGTGCTTTTCCGGACAGCTGGTCGACATATCTGAATTGTCGGCTGATTGCGACGAACAAAAATACTCACCAAAATCCTTCCATTCATAAGTAACATACACAGCAAACTGAGTCGCACCCTGTAGGATGACCAATTCAGAAGGTATCACTCAGCCAGCCTGCGAAATTGGCGATCATACCCCATCTAGTAAATTCAACGATATTGTTCAGGGGCAACATACGCCGAATAGAACACACACTCAGTCGCCAGTAGAACACAGAAAAATCGATTAATTGCCGACCTCTCAGAGGTCAATACAACCTCACATCCAATTCACACGTCATCCGACCCCCTAGTGTTATCAGAGGTATCAGACGCATGGGGCCTCGTCTTTATAACTGAAATCTGGTTGCGCGCACGAATTACCAAAGACCAAATCGTGATGAAGTGGATGCCCCTTAGTCGCAAATATAGCAAACAGAAATGAACTACTCATAAGTTGTCAATACAATCATTCCTCCACTTGAATTTGCAATTCCTAATCGGTAGGTACGGGTTTTGTTTACGCCTTTGTAACGATGTCCGTTCATCTGAGAAGTCTCTTGATTCTGCGACGAAAAAGTGGCAAGCGACCGGTTTTCTATGATTCCTAGGTAAGGGTGCAACCAATTATACCGTAGCACCATAGGTTCAACTAGAATCCGAAATAAGGGGCAGTATGGAGGGCTATCGAAATACTTACGATTCGTTGTGCAGTTGCGACGGGCGCTGATACTCCCACAACCTTAGTACGCACGAACCACCAAGGTCTTTTGAAAACAGTCACTTATGCATGCCTATTCATTTGTGCGGTGTTCAGGGCTACGTTTTCATCAAAGAAATGATCAAGCAGAAAAATGTCTATATACGCAACGCGAGGAGGGATAAATCGCTTATAAAAAAGAGATTTCATATTAAAAGAGACGGAAATGTCCGAAATGTAGGTTGCAATATAAGGGTGCAGGGTTTACTCGTACAACCACAGTTTGCCGTTAAACGCAAATAGCTTAATGCTAGGTTTAACAGGTATCATCATTACAAACTAGCTAAGCTTCGGAAGTATTTAAGTCGATCTTCCGTTGATTCACGTCGGCCGGTGGCCGAAAGGACTGCACGCCAGGCTTGCAATCCTTAGGGTGGGCGCCCTCGTGGTATACTCAGCCTATGCGCGACCGGTGATGGTCCGCACAGTGTGCCAGCTTACTGCTGACAACTTTCTTCATTTTTCTTTCCGTTGATTTATTAGCTCGAACACAAGAAGCATCGGCAGCTCGCAACGCATCATAGTTTCTTTCTCACCTCAAAAACAACCTGCACGCGCAATGGTTAATGTAAGTCTGTGGCAGGCCAAGTCCCTCTGTAGTCCATCGAACAAATACCATATGTTTGGATGACCGCATTGGATTAAGGAATTCAAAGCATTGTGAAATCCTTCGCAGAGATTGATTTTCGGTGACTTCTCAAGTGCAGCATCGTGATGACTGAGCAGTTGCAGCGGGAACTGCGGTTCTCGGCCTGTTGCCCTTTCAATGTAAGTCAAGAAGAAATCATCGAGCACCGCATTATATGAATAACGAACATGTTTTCGATAATGCTTCACTGCCTTCTGACTATCTAATGGGCTTCTTTACATTAGGATTCTTCATTTGGAAATGTGCTAGCAAACTCAACAAAAACTCCTCTCACTCAAGCGACTGGGACTAAGGAAAGTGAAGCCAGAGACTTCAGCTGTAGTTGAATATTGACATCCCTTTCAAAAGCAGTTTTAAGGCTGGCTTTGCAGAGCTTTGTGATGTTACTTTGCAACAGGTAGAAA